GGAGACGGCCGTTGGCAGGGTATCCATTAGCTGTGCGCACCGCAGCTGTGAGCGAGGCGCTGTAATTATATTTACCGTTAATTCCCTCACTTGCCTTTAACCTATTTGGCTGTGCGAAGGCCGTGCACAAAGCAGACGAGCAACAAATAGCAAAACAAAAGCAGAGCAAACAGCAAAAATCAGACACCAAAAGGATACAAAGGACTCCGACCCGACATTGCGGCATTTGCAACTCAATTGTCGTTCCTCGTTCCTGGTTCCTCGTTTCTCGATTGTCGATTGTCGATGGTCGATTGTCAATAGCCATTTGAATCGCATTCGATTACGCGTTTTGTTTGCTTTTAATTGCACTGCTCATCCGTTTTGCTGAACAGCGAGTTCGCTTTTCTCAATGAAAATCGTCTCGTCCTCTCTCTCTCTCTCTCTCTCTCTCTCTCTCTCCTTCTCTTTCGTTCTCTTTCTCTCTCTGTCTCGCTGTCTATCCACCTAACTTTCTCTTGTAGTACTTTGACAAGTTCGAGCTGTGCGCCGCACAATGCACTCTCCCAGCCAGCTGTGCACTCAGCCATCGAATCAGCTGCCTCCTCACAGATTGGCTGCATTCAAGCACATCTGCAATTCTTATTCAGCTGAAAATGTAAGTGAAATGCTCAATGGAAACTATACACATATACATATACAAATATATATATATATATATATATATAGAGACGGGCATAAACATTTGGATTACATTTACATTTGCCGCCCACTCGCTGCATGAACGCACCTGCAAGAGCAGCTGCGAAAGCACCTGAAAGAGCACCTGCGTAATTGCAGCTATTCGTGCGCGCATATCTTAACGATATGTGTATTATTTACTTTTTATTTCTTGAAACGGAGCACACTGAACTGTCTGCATGTTATGTAAATGGAAATTTTAATGGAACTTTGTGCAGCTTACAAAAAATTTATTTTAGAATATTATTGAGCACACCTAGAGCAGTTAGTGTTCTCTCTAAGGAAACGGCCATATAAGGGACTGTGAATTTATTTTTAGGCACTCTAGTTTACTTAATTGATAGATTGGACTAAGGTTGAACGACTACCAATTCTTAAATTAAACTTAATGCTTATCTATTGAGAAGGGCGAAGCTCTATGGATTTAGAGTGTGAGTCAACAGGAGTGGTATTTTATTAATTAGAGATTAAATAGATTAATAAGATTAAAAAATAATTATTTTAATTTAAAAAAAAATAAATAAATAAATAAGTTATATAATAAAATAAAATAAGTTAAAAAATAAATAAATAAAAAAAAATAAATAATAATAATAATAATAATTTTTTTTTTTTTTTTTTTTTTTTTTTGTTGGGCTGAGGTAGGAAAAAATGCTTTATGCACCGTCAGTCATGTCGTCACTTTGACCGGTGTGTCGGACTGCATAACTGCTTACCGACTAAAAAATCCTCCTCTTCTGGGGCTCAAATCCACCTTGGAACCAGGAGATATCCCGCATTAACCTTCAAGGTGGAACCCCATTGTGTGCTCTAAATGAGCGTTGCCCTCTGTGTGCCTGCGTCCAGGTCATACTTCTTCCGCCGCAGAACCTTTTCGGCGAAGTCATAGACTTTTTTCCAAGCGTCTATGCTGCTGCACATTTGCTGTACTAACGTCTCTACTTTGACTTCACCTACTGTTTCTGCCAGGTCGATTCTTTCTTCCGACCATCTTTTGCAATTGAAGAAGGTGTGTTCTGCATCGTCCATTGCATTTTCGCAGTAAATGCAGCTGGATTCGGCAGTTTTCCCCATTTTATTTAGGTACTTTCGAAAGTATCCATGTCCGGAGAGTAGTTGTGTCAAATAGAAAGACGTTTCACCGTGCTTTCTATTTATCCACTGCTCCAGATCGGGGATTATTTTAGCGGTCCATCTTCCATACCTTTCGCATGACCATCTCGCCTTCCACGAGACTATGGTTTGCTGTCGTATGCTCTTTGCCGCATGTTCTGAGTATTCTCCTCTTTGCCGAAGATTCCATATTTTTTTGCGCTCTTGGGCAAGCAAGTCAACCGGTATGACTGCTGCTATCACAGTCACGGCCGCCCCGGAGACTGTGCGGTACGCCGATGTTATCCTTAAGGCTGCTCTTCGTTGCACAGCTAGCATCGGTTTTCGCCTTACATTCGCCTCTAAGGTATCCGCCCATACTTCACTGCCATATAGCAGTATTGCATTTGTCGCTTCCATGAGGAGTCTCCGTTTTCCTGCCGTCGGGCCGTCAACGTTTGCCATCAGTCTACTCAGAGACCCCGTTGCTGTCGCTGTTTTCCGCGTGGCATACTTCAGCTGTTCCCAGAAGGTAAGTTTACTGTCCAGCCTAACGCCTAGATAGTTCACTGTCCTCTGCGTCCTTATCAGGTTTCCGCTTACTCGCATCTCTATTTCGGTTGGGATCTGCTTCCCCGTGAACAGAAGTAACTCTGTTTTATGGGTGGCAAGCTCCAATCCTCGAGAGCTGAGCCATGTCTGTGTGCGGATCATGACTTGGGTAAGTCTCTTTTGGGCCTCTATGGTGTTTCTGGCATAATAATAATAATAATAATAATAATAATAATAATAATAATAATAAAAATAAAAATAATAATAATAATAATAATAATAATAATAATAATAATAATAATAATAATAATAATAATAATAATAATAATAATAATAATAATAATAATAATAATAATAGTTAAATTAAATATTAAGCACTGGCAATTGGAGCCTTCGGCTTGAGGATATCATTCGATATCATGATATCATGATATCATTCGTTGATATCATTCGTTGTATTTCAGCAGCTATTTAACTCATTCATAACTGCCAATGTAATGGTATAATGTTTTATTTTTAATTAAGCAGAGTCCGAAAGTCAAGTTTGGTAATAAAAATTAACTGACTTGGGCTTCAACTGAACAAACTGATGTATAAATACAAAATAGTTTACAGAAATTGTAGCTTTCTGCACGCTCCATAAACGCAATAGATACTAGGCCCTTTTCATACATCAGTTCTGCCCGAGTTTGCCGTTCTATTGAACTCCTGTTATCCTTACTATATTAATAGAGGAACAGGCGCAGGCATAGGCAATCGCAACTTGCCGATTTATAGGGAGCGCGCATAAAGCATGAATTTTTAATGGGTATTTACAAAAATGTAGTTGTTATTTTCGGCCATAAACATTTCGTCGAGTTTACGAGCCGGGCACATAATGCGAAGCACTCAAATTAACAGCTGTGAACGGGGCTCGAGTGTGGGTGGGTGAGGCTTGTGTGACAACATGTGCTGTTGGTGCGGGGACGGGGGGCGGGGTTTTGTCCTTCGAATTCATGAGCTTTGCACACAGTTAGTCGGCTGTGCGACATAAAGTATATTTTGATTATTTGTTGAGTCAAAAGCTCAACATTTCAGACGGGCAGCGGCCACTGCTTCGGCAGCAGGCGGGAAATTTCATCATTTGCATTTCAAATTCGTGAGAGTTGAACTGCTGCGCTGCTCAGCCAGGATCTGGGAGGCTAGCAACGACTGCAAATGCCACAAATGGCGTGTTAACACAACAAAGAGGTAATAACAATAGGCTCCCGCTATCTGCATCTATATGTGTGTGTGCGCGTGTATGTGCGTGTGTGCGTGTATAACATTCCTGTAGTCAGTGAGCGAGGATCTGCTACCACATTCCCGCCTTCACTTTGTAAACATTTTTACTAGCCGGCGCTGCTGCTGCTCCTGCTGCTTTTTATGCGGAAGCTGTGTCAATACACGATAAATTGAACTGTGCAGGAATTTATGTTGGCACTTTGTGAGGGCACACAAATTCCAGCAGCGGAGCTCCAGCGACTGGCCTCTCCATGGGTGCCGCCATACCTTGCCAGCCAGCTGTACACGGGAGTCGCCCTCGCATCCTCTGGGGACTTGAAAAGTTCAATAATATTTATTTATTTGTTACTTGCTCTTTGACAAAAGCACACAAGATTAAGACCAAAGCCCTATATATCACGCCTCTCGCATATTGGGTCAGATTTAATGGCGTTGCGTAGTTTTATTGTCACACACACAGATAGAGGCGGGGGTAGAGTTGTCTCCTTGTGGCAGGACACGCAGTAAATTACACGGGCAGACAAAGAATTCAACGGCCCGAAATGCTAAGTTAATTTAAGGCGCCACTCTAAAGTGGTCTAGGCTTTGATTTAGAGTGCCACAATTTGTACAAGCCAATGGCAAAAGCCCCAAAAAGGATATTGAGCATCGATAGGATTCGCAGCGAACAGCCATAGCCGGTGGCCAAATCTAATCTGTTGAGCTTGAACTTGATTTAAGACCAACCCAGCTCAGACCCAAAAATACAGCTGTAAATGCAGCAGGAGCAAAGTTACTGAATTGGCAGCCATATGGTTGGTATATATATTTTATAGAATATTTATAACAATATTTTTAATAAGATTATTTTTAATAAGATCTCAGGATTTCATAAACTCTTTATTTAAATTTAAATTGTAAAATTTAAATTATAATTTTACTAAATAATTTTCATTAGAAACTCCAAGTTTGAACTAAATCACATAAGAAGTTGACTCCTACGCTTAGTTAATTTCAAATGCAAATAACTTTAGCTCAACTCCTTGCTCGACTCGGTCTGCCCAAATATAGTTATATTAAGTAGGAAAGGCTTGTTTAATTTTCTGTAAGCTCACAAACAACTGCTAAGCAGAAAGCAAATAAATTTGAAGTCTATTGTAAGCGCCATTCGGCCAGGGCTAAGGCGCGAAGGACATGCGCAGAGCGAGGAGCCGGCACAAGTGTTGAGGAGAAGCGTCGAAGCAGTCGACGGAACGTGTGGCAAACGGAATGAAACAAGGGGCACAGGCAAGCGTGTTGCTGGGGATGCTGGCAAGTGGAACAGCCATCTGGCCAACAGATAGCAGGCGCAGCGGGGCAGCACGAGTTTCCTGTCGCTGGCTGCAAGCGATTCAGTTGAAAATTTGCATCCTTAGCGAGCGGACGTGACTCGCAGCGGGCGGCAGGACCAGAACGGATGTCAAATTGTCGCGGTCTCGAAACTTGTTCGTGGCAAGTCGTGCGAGCCGCCAATGTCTGGCCAAGCGCTTGTGTTTAGATGCGAGCTGAGGCGGCCAAGTGGGCCACAAATAGGTGCAAGGCGTAAGGAATTGGCAGTTGCGAAGCTATTTTAAGGAACGAACTGAAGATTGTGTAGAGCCTCTGTAGAGTCTCTGTGTGTGTGCTGGTGTGTGCGTGTGCGTGTGCGTGTGTGAGTGTCCCTTGCGTCTTGGCTGAGTCAGCGAGTTGGCTAAGCAAGTGCCGAAATCACTTTCCAAATTTGTTTGTTTCTCTTGTATTAAAATGGATATTAGAATGGGGAACTAAATGTGCAAAGCAACCAAGAAAAAAAAAAAAAAAAAAAACAAAACAAAACGAAGTAAGGAGCTGCGGCCGCAATGTCGTAAAAAGGGATTATTGTGTATTATACGCCGGCACAGAATAAAAACTTGAATATTATTTTCGAGGCGGCGGCGCAAGCCATAAAGTGCAACTCAACTGTGAATAAGCTGCCTCACGTGCTAAGTCCGGCGAAGAAATGAAACATTAAAAATATCGTTTATCAAGCTGTGCGTGCAATGAGTATGTGTGTAAAGCTGAAAACTTGTTAAACAGTGTCAGTGTGCCGCAAGTTTCGCAATCTCTTTTGTGAAAAACTTTCCACATAACTCACGGGAAAAGTAATGCTCACGCTAGTTTGGCATATGGTAGGTGAATATATATCGAACGAGCTCTTCTTTAACTTCTCTCAATTGGAGGGTAATTTGAAAAATTTGCATGATTAATAGCGAGCAGATCTAAGGAAAAGTTCAAAAGTTTCAAATTATGCTAATCAGCTGGAGCCATATCAAAGAGTCAAGAAGAGAGAAAGAAAAACTATTTAGAGGCTAATCGAAATTTCGAATCGCATTTGTATTGATTGATTAGATGATTGCTTTATCAAATTATATATGTATATAATATATATGTATATATGCCTTGAATTTGTGCAGTTTGTTTCGAGAAATAGAATAAAAATTGTAACTGTAACTGGCACAAGGTAAAGCAATAGGAAAAGCAATGAAAGCGCGTGGCAACAAAATCAAAGAACAACGCAAGAGACATAAGTAAAAAAAAAAAAAAAAATAAACAGAAAATAAATATATATAAAGCAAGTTGCAATCCACTGAAAAGCAACGGAAGGAAGGCAACGAGAGCGTTTCCCGACTCCAGCGAATTAATTCAATAAACCTATTTATCTGGGACGGGCGGCTGCAGGGCAGCAGCGGCGTCTGGGAATAGACGCGCACATTTCGCATAAAATGCGAACAACTTTGACAGCCAACGGGGCGCACTGCAATCAGAATCAGAGGCCAGCGCCGTGCCGAACACTTGGAGACAATGCTCCGCCGCCAATGGTTCCGCAAACGAGTCCCCAATGGCGGCATTCGCCTGGCAGTGAGCGCACAAAAGCAGCTCTAAGTGTCATCGCAGCAAGCAACTGTGCCAGTGCCAGGATGGCCAGGACGAGCGGAGGGACGCACAGGACCAGCGCAAGGAAGCCACCAACGGCAAAGATGACAGTCTTCGACTCGGACGAATGTGCCGGACAACGGCGCCAATTTGTACGCACGGCCAAGACGTTGAGTTGGCAACGCATCTGGCTGACAGCTTGGCTCCCTCTGCTCCTGGCTGCCCTCGACCCGGGGACACGTAAGTACAGCTCGGGGCCATATGTGGCTATGGCTATGGGTGTGGCGGTGTCTGTCTCTGTGTGTGTGTGTGTGTGTGTTTCGATGTCTAGCTAAAGCTGTTTTATTTAATTTAAACCCCCCACAGACCGGACCTACGACTTGATTTCGATTCGTTCGTCCTTGAACTTTGCGTGTCATATGCATGCAAAATTATAATTGAATATGTCGCATGCCGAAGCTCTCTCACTCGCCTCGTAGCATAATTTGTCCACAGTAATTGATTTCGTTACAGGCAATATTTTGTAGCTAAAACCATATATGAAATCATCTGTCAATTTATGATTATACAAGGTCTTTAAATCGTGCTCAACTGGGGCATATGGCTTAGGGCTGTTTATATGTAATTTAAATTTTAAATAACTTTCAAATATATAACAGAAATAATTTTATTCAATATATTTTTTTTAATTTAAAACATTTAATTACAGATTACACACATATAAATGCATGTAATAATAATAATTTTAGCCTATATATTTACATATTTTCATTTTTAAAATATTTAATTACAGACTATATACATGTAAATGTATGTATGTGTATATCTTAGGGCAATTTATATGTAATTTAAATTTTAAATCATTTAAAAATATTTGACATGTTTACTTTATTTTTAAATTTAAATATATGAATTTACAGAACATATACATAAATACATACGTTCCTTAAAACTGTTTATATGTTATTGAAGCTTGAAATAACTTTATAATATTTAACAAAAATATTTTTAATTTCTGGCGATCAATTTTTTATTGCGGGTATTTTTCAGTCTTTTTCTGACACTCTGTACACTGTGCTACATGGCTTCAGGGCAATTAAAATTCCCATTCCATGAATTCGCTTACTGTGTTTGTTTTTCTTAACGCCCGACTGCCAATCACTCAGTGGAAAAAAAGCGTAGGCCAAGAGCGGAAAATACCTTAAGGAAAATTAAAAAATAATATTTAATGAAGAGAAGAGATTAACTGCCTGTCCAAGCAGGACAGTGTGCCAGCGCAGCGCCTTCTGACAAAATCTCGACCCACTGTGCACGGATCACAGACTCGAGGGTTCTGTGACCCTTCGGGCACTCGAGCATAAGTCTCGCCTGTTAACTTTGGCTCGCTTTTGTGACGCGATGTGATGTGATGTGATGAGCTTCAAGCGTAGCGTAAAATAATTCAATTAATTTTACACGCGTGCTCAAAAATCCGTTAATAAAGCCGATTAGCACGTGCGCGTTAACAAAACTTTTATTGACAGTCAGGGAGTGTAAGGCGCTGGCGGCTCCTTGAAGTACTCATGCTCTAGGATCTGCTCAGCGGACAAGCGCTTCGCTGGCTGATAGACGATTATCTTGGCCAACAGGTCGACAGCGGAATTGTAGATGTCCAGATCTGCCATCAGCTGGGTCAGCTGATTGCTTGTCCACTTGGGAAAGGTGCTCTTGTAGTCGGGCAGTGTGGATACGCCCGGCCAGGACTGCTCGTTGGGGGTGCCCAGCAAGCGGAATATGCAGAAGAGCTGATCTATCTCCGAGTCGCCACGAAACAGGGGCCGCTTCGTGATCATCTCAAAGAAGATGCAGCCAATGGACCAGATGTCCACGGGGCAGGCGTACCTCGGGCAGCCCATGAGGATCTCGGGCGCCCGGTACCAGAGCGTGACCACCTCGTGGGTGAGCGCGCGCATGGGCAGCTGGAAACAGCAGCCCAGGCCAAAGTCGGCCAGCTTGATGCGGCCCACTCCATCGATCAGCATATTCTGCGGCGTCAGATCCCGGTGCATCACGCGTCGCCGATGGCAGTAGAGAATGGCGCTGGTCATCTGGAAGAGGAAGCTGCCGACCAGCTTAAGGTCCATCAGTTGGCTGGCTGGCAGCGTTTCGAGGTACTGCCGCAGGCTCATGGAATGGTACTCGAGTATCAAGCATATGCTGCTGTCCACGATCACGACGTCCAGCAGCGTGACTATGTTGGGATGCTTCAGCTCCCGCAGCAGCGATATCTCCCTGATGGCAGTCGACGGCAAGCCCTCCACCCCAGGAATGTGTTTCACGCTCTTCAAGGCCACGAATTTCCCAGTCGAGCGATTCAGCGCCTTGTAGACAACACCGTAGGTGCCTTCGCCAATCGTGGTCTTTATCTCATAGTTCTCCATACCGTGGATACACTTTTACTATATTGAAACAATTTCTCTGTTACTCTGCATATTTTAACTGGTCATAAATGGCCTTAAAAGTCCACTGTTAAAAGACCCACTCAATCCTGTTAAAAGTCAACCAGAGTTGCCAAGTTGGCGTTGAATGTGTCTGTCCATTGCTTCTGATACATCGATTACTTATGACAATACGAAGCATTTGAAAGTTTGCATTATTAATATTATTAATATTATTTTATTATTATATATATTTTTTTTTATTTCATTTTAATTTTAAATCTATGCCGACTTATTTATTTATTTTTTTTTTTTAATATTCTATTAATGTAAAATTTTATTCAAATCATTTGCACTTACTTATGCATTTGCTTGATTATAAAACGTCAGGCCCCTGCATTCTTTTAATATTAAAATACCATCTTTCTTGATCTAGAACATAGTCGATAGTTTCTAGTTTTGCTTAACAGACCTAATCGATAGGTACTTAACAGAATGACAGGCAAGAACAATCGATATGCATAGCTTAAAAGCTTAATATTTGTGGTTTATATTCGTATTGAATGTATTATTTATTTGTTTTACTTTATTTACTTTATGAATACTGAACAGCTGTATTCCAGTTGTATTTTCTCAATGTGAACTGCTGCAGCTGTAAATTGTTAACATATTGAGAACTACTCCATTTTGTAGAGGTTATTATTATGGCTTTCAGCATTCGCTTTTGCGGATCACTTTTCCCATGCAATTTAAATTATTAACAGATGTGCGCACATTTCAATACAAAAGTTTGAAGTGTTGTGGCCAGAGTTCCGCCCCATTGGCAATCCACTTGGCCATAATTCAAAAGCCGCAGCTGAGAGTTCCTTAACCCTCTGGCTGCCCTCTGGAGCACCATTGCACGGCTAAATGCGAGAAACCACTTACAACTGCAATTGGTAGCCGACGAAGGGCTGGCTGGGTAAATACTCGCTGACCAATATGCAGGCGAACAGAAATATGAAAAGAACAAAATAAAACAATAAATTTGTGGCTCGAGCAGGGCGCGGCTGGGCAGAGCTTTGAAAAATGCGCTGAAAACATTAACGAAATTGAATACTTGCCAGCAAATGTTTAATAAACACATTCGCAGTGGCAACACTTGCTGGATGCCGCCAGCCAGACAAATGCTCATCCAATTTCAAGGACCTGCAGTGCAAGGGATGTGAGCCATTTTCGGCAGCAATCCCAATGCGCTTTCATAAAAGTTTGAGTGCAGCTCGTTATGCCAAATAAATGAAGTTTGTCTGCTGCTGCTCCTGCTGCTGCTGCTCCTGCTACTGCTGCTGCTGCTCCTGCTGCTGCTGCTGCTGCTGCTGCTCCTCCTGCAGCTGCTGCTTCTCCTCCTGCTGCTGCTGCTTCTACTACTGCTGCTGCTTTTCGTATAAATTTTGTAATATTAGAACAATTTTTTGGTACTCGTGCGCTTCGTGCACTTTGTGCACTTGGCTAATTTGGGGAATGTAGCAAAGTTAGCAGCTGGACAAGCCGGTGCTATTCTGGCCAGGCAATTTCAAAATGTTTAGCTCAGCCACGCCCCCCTAAATGGCAAATCCTTTAATGCTCGGTCCAGAGTAGCATGTCGAGGCAACGCAGGAACCAATTGGGTTATTCCGCCCAAAAGTGTTTGTTTACCCTCATAAATTATGAATCTGCACAACAAGGATGGCAACCCACATGTTCTGGGCCACGCACATGGGCACATGTCGGTTGACCTCTGTCGCTGCTGACGATACTTTAGCTGTTGCTCTTGCTGTCGCCAGCCTGTGCCCGAAGTGTTGCCCTGGAAACACCTAGCTCCGGCTACAACATGCTGAAAAACGAACTGAGCCCAGCCCAACCCAACCCAACCGAACCGAGCCGTAGCATGCCGGAATGTCTGCGGGAAGCCGTGAGCGGAGTGGAGCTCCTGCTACATCCTGTCTGCATCCGAGTATCAAATACTTTGCTTTATGACGCACTGTGGTTAGCAGCGAGAGCATCTCACATATTCTCTACACTATGTACTTTTGTTTCAGTGTATTTTAAATTTATTTATTTCTTTAGAGGCCAAAAATCATATGAATACATAGTTTTTCTATTTAATATATCTATATATATTAATAAAATATAATATAAAATATTCAAGAAAGTTTCAGCTGAAATGGAAATATATTCTTTATTAATAAATATTATTATTATTATTATTATTATTATGGCTATTATTATAATTACTATTGTTATTATAATTTGTCATTATTATCATTATTATTATTATTAGTGTTTTATAATCATGGTTCAAAAAGGTTTACAAACCTATCCTATCCCATCTATTCAATCTTATTCCAATCCTATTTAACCTTCAATATAAACATTATTATTGAAAATTCGGCTCTATTTCGCAGCACTTGTTGCCACTGTTCATTAGTCGCACGCCCTAAACTAACAATTTTGTTGAGGGGTCGACGCTGCTCTTTTGGCCTGGAAAAATTGAGAGGGGAGCAGGTTGACTTTAAATTATTCAGAGGGTTTGGCGCTGGCGACCAATCAAAAGCGCCAAGCACAAGACATGAACAGAAAGCTGTGTGAAACAATGCCAAAATAACAATAACAGCAAAAGTGAACAGAGCAACAACAACAACAACAACAACAAGTGTGTGGCATTAGTGGCTGGGGCGTGTAATTGTTGAAAAATAGGAAAAGTGCCCACCAGATGACAAAGTGCAGTCGACCAAGCGTCAACGAGTCTTGGGAGAGGATATGGGCCTGGGTCCGTCCGGCTCCGGACTCCCGTCCAAGTGTGAAAATGGCCCCAAAAATAACTAGCAAAAAATGCTGGAGTAATGCTCTCTCTATATATCGGTCTATATGGATAGGCAGTGGCAGGAGTAGGGGCAGAGGCGGGGGCAGTGACAGGGGCAGTGCGAGAGGTTCAGAGGTTCAGTTACGGGGCTAGCATCGAAATTTATGAAATATTCCCAGAGCACATGCCGACAGACGACGACGGATGAGGACCGACCCACCAACAGACCGACAGACCGACCGACAGGCCTGTTCGGTCGAGAACCAGATGAAAAATGTTTTGTTTTGGCGACGTTGGAACTTATTTATGAGCTGTGCCGACGGCGATGGCAGCATTTGCTGGACAGGGCGGTGGGTGCGGCTGCGGGTATCGGTCTGAGTGCTAAGCTCGACTGACGGTGGGTGGGTGGATCGGTGGGCTGGTTGAGCGGCGTTTGGCAACCGGCAATAAAGGCGAGCGGCGCGATAAAAGGCACTGCGGAAGAGCCCAAAACACAGATAATGGAATGTCCTGCAGATTCGCATAATTATTTTACTTGATTTATACGCAAGCACTCGGGAGCTGTCCCTAGAGGGCAAGCCGAAAGAATTCGCTCTGATTCACCCAAGCTTCTGCAATAACAAAGCAAAATCAACAACATTGAAATGTTTGCTGTTTATTGCTCCACCTGGCGCATAATCAGAGCCAAAATGCAAATATCGTTCATAATAATTTGGCTTACAGAGTTTGCTCTCAACTCTGTTTTGATTTTCAATCGTGAGACGTGACCTGTGCATTGATTTCCGTATTTCATTCGCCGTGATTTCACGTCATGAAAGACGATTCATAAGCATGTGGGAGATATTCGCGAGGTACACCCCAGATGATTCTGAAGCCCACTGAAACTGTGCTCGACTGTTTAAGTAATTGTATCTTCAGAGTGGAACGCGAGATGTTCATATTTGTTGTTTGTCTGTTTGTCCTTCTATGGGATGACGTGAATGCTTCTGCTCAGCGCTTTGATGTAATGTATATCATGTTGAGCCTTTGATGTAGGAATGATGCGAAAATGCGACTGTCTCGGGCAATGCGGCTGCTGTTAGAGGCATTAATAGGCGCGTGGTGGAGTACGCGCACGAGCACGGTGCGTATACGTAATGGGACGCCGAGCAACGCTCCAGTTTCAATTTACGCAGCTGAAACAGAAGCCAAAGGCGAAAAATGGAAGAGTCCCGCTTTGCCACACGTAGCGACCAAACATGATGCCATAAAAATAAATTGAGCCAGTCCCAAACCAAAAAGCAAGAGTGCTGCATAAAAACAAAGAGCGCAAAAGAGACCGACAGACAGACATGTGAAGCGAGGGGGGAGGGGGGCGCAGTAGAGCCGAAGTAGGCGTCGAGTCGACTGACTCGTTCGAGTTGTTTGCCTCCTATTGAATTTCGAAGCAGCCCAACCCAGCCCAACCCAGCCCAACCCAGCCCTACTCAGCCCTACTCAGCCCTACTCAACCCAATCCGGCTCAGCCCAGCGCGCGGCTGTTGCCTCTATTTGTGTGCTGGCATATCGTATATACATATTTTAACTGTGACACCCAACATATGTTTCACTTTGAATGACTACAAGAAAATTGTTGAAGCAATTTTCACTAAACACAACATTCCGCAGCCGTTGGAGCGCTCCTCACAGCCAGCCACCCGATGGCCCACCCACATAGGCAACCGCCCACCCTGCCCACACGCATGCAAATGCGTGTTTCATGCGTAGACTGAATTTCGTATTTGCTCAGCAATATGTACGACGTACAATTTCCTATTTAATGTTACGGCTGTCCCTTCCGCCTTCGCCCACGCGGCCAAATATGTTTATTTGTTATTTATTTATTTATTTGCAGGCGGAAAAACGAAGGGCGTAATTGCCTATTGATTGATTTTATGCACGCTCTCAAAGTAACATTCTTGAATATTTATGCGAAATTCCAGCGGATGCCAAGTGCCATTACAATTCATCCGCAATAAATGCGCTGTAAATCATAAAGACCAAGAGGTTAAACACTTGCCAGCATCTTGACGCTAAGTGCAAATTGATTTGACACGCTGTTTGCTTAATATTAAGGGTATAAAGAAGTGTGCTAAACACATGAATAAACAATGATCCCGAATGGGTGTTAGATGTTGTCCTCAGTCTCTAATCATCGTAGTCCGAGAATATTTTCGAAGCAGATGAATACAAAGACAGAGAGAGAGAGAGAGAGAGAGAGAGAGAGAGAGAGAGAGAGAGAGAGAGAGGGGGAGAGAGCACAAATAAGTCAATTTGTGTTAGCCTAACTAATTTGCAGTTGGAATAGGTTAATATGCCGTTCTAAATTTCGGTTGGCTTGCAAAGTTTGCTCTAAACTTTTGATGTTTGGTCAAAAGTTCGTTAGGGTAAGAAGTTTAATTGCACTAAAGTACGCCGAGCAGGTAAAGTTATATACAAATGTGTCTGAGTTGTATATAACTAATTCCAAGTTTGGATGGGTGAGGACATTTTTCAGCAGTGGGCCAAGATCTGCACAGCTCTCTGGAACTTTCTTGTGGTAAATTTTTTAACCATGTAAAAGTATCCCTTTAAGGAAAATTTGTTTAGTTTAAAGTTTTAGTCAATTTTACAATAAGTAAGAGGACCCCAAGGACATCCACTAAGCATGGCTCCGCACAGTAGCAGCAGCAATCGCAGTCGCAGTCGCAGCCGCAGAAACAAAAAGAACACGTTAAGAGAATTGTCAACAAATAGACGCTTAGCCAACTATCTCAACTCGATGGGCATGGCTCGGGGTTAGGGGCTGCGGTTCTGGCTGCTAATCCAAGCGCCTTCAGCAATCTGCCCTGGCGCGTGTTTTATGCGCACTCGAGGTGCCCATAACCCAAAGCACTCCCCAATGCAAAGTTTTGCTTTAATGTGGTGTGTGTGTGTTTGTGCTTAATGCCACGGCCTGCCTGGCCCATCTACATCTAAGCCACAGTCATGGCTGGCCGGTTGGCTTGCTTAAGCCGCAGCGAGTGGCTCTTTGCAGAGACATCAGCAGGACGCGGAGTGAGTGGAGTGCGGAGCGAGATTGTAGAGTGTTTAGTTGTTGGGTTTTTAATTATGAGCCCTGCCACCTACGCATCCTGCTGCCATGACTTTTTATTGGATATGTAATTACTTTTGGCCCTGGGCGCTTCCAAATTACAGACGCATATTTTTTATAATTACAACGCGCAGCAGCAACGGCAGCAGCGGCAGCGGCAGAAGCCCATCAAAAAAGTTGCGACTGCCGTTTGGCCAAAAGTTGTTGGCCGTTTTGATACTCCGCTAATGATGTACGCATCAAATGGCCAACAAAATGCCGTTGAGCATGAAATCATAATTAATCCATTGACCTTTAACACGCCGCAGGGCGGGCAGTGGGCGTGGTCGCGCGAATGCTGCACATGTGCGCTGCTGCTAGTTTCACGTAATTAAAAGCCGTTAAGAGCGGCATTACGATATCATTATCAAGCCTCAAATTTATTTCATTTTATGAAATTTATCTGCACATGTCACATTTATTATTTAAATTAAACTGTTTTGGTTTTTAATGTATCTATTTCTTGCTAACATTATTATAATATTATATGTATATGTATCAGCTAGGCATACGGATTATTTAGAATTATGTGTGCTCATTACTTATATTCAATCTCTACCCAAAGAGCTTGAGGCCATCTAAGGTTCTTCAATGCCCGACGAAAAGGTTAAATAACAACATATGGAAGCGTCTGCCTCCTCGTGATGCACAGTGTGGCAAACAGGTATAAGAAATGTGCTTTTAATATACATATTGAGCAGCAATAGCTGAGGGAATTGCCTGCATGATGATCTTTGCTCTGCTCAAAGGCCTCGCCCACTGTTGCTGATGATGTGGCTGATGAGCCTGCCATTATGTTGTCTGTGCTGAAATTTAAATTTGCATATACACACATAATCCGTGTAACTATGTGTGTGTGTGTGTGTGTGTGTGTGTGTGCTGGTGTGTTTGTCGGCGCTTCAGGTTTTTCGCCTAGCTGCATGGCTCGAACGCAACAGACCTAATTTGAGTAATTCGAGGTCTCATTTGAACGCATTACTATTCAGTTTGCGTACGGATCTGACGGCGCCGAGTCGAGGTGAGTGGAGGCTAAGCGTTTGCACATTTTGGCAACACACTTGAATTATAAGCTTCGGTGAATGCGGTGCCAACTGCCAGGACTTCCACAAAACTGAGGGGTGATGGGTGAGGGGCGGTGCTACTCCTCATGCCAATGGAATTGCCCCCAAGTAGCTGGCCGCAAACACAACAAAAACAATTTAAGTGTTATTGCACGTTTCGCTTACATGTCCTGGGCCATGCAGTGTCCTGCTGCCTGCTGGCAGCTCCTTCGCATTTGTTTATGTTAGCCAAGCAATTGTGGCTGCAGGGCGTGGCAGGTGGCATGGGACGAGGGGTGTGTGCTGGCTGCTGTCGCCATTTTGTCGCCGAGTGCAATAACTGTTGAGATCACACAACATACGAGGTCCTTTCGTAACAAAATACACACACACACACACACGCCCACACACACATAGACACACATAGTCTATGCGTTGTTGTGGCCTGTAAATTAATCGGCTTAGAAGCCAAAATAAACAAAGAGAAAGAGAGAGAGAGAGAGAGACAGAGATATAGACTCAGTTCTATCAAGATTGAAAGGATTTTTTCGATTCGAATGGACTTTGTATTGAGTTTATTGCGTAAAGCATCTAGCATCGGCTTATTGTGCCTAGGCCGATTTAATTGAAAGCTTAAGCAAAGGTTTCCTTTAGGATACATTTCCACAAAACATAGCCGTGCAGCAAACTGCATTCCAATTGGCCAGGGGCTGAGTAATGGCTGGAAAGCAGGGCTGTGTGCTTGGGGTTGTTGTAGCACCCACATTTACTCTTTCGTTTCGTTTTCAATTTGCATTTTTACGGCGTTTCACATTTGAAGCTCGACATTCTCATTTTTTACATAGTTTTTTTTTTTTTTTTTTCTTGCGGGTCCAGGCGGCCATTTACCTTTTTACATTTTAACCGGAGACCTTATCGGCACGCCCAAATCTCACGCATACCCAGTCACACTCACACTCACACTCGCATTCACATTCACATTCACATTCGTCCAATTCGAGGCGAAATTTATGCGGTTTTTTGCGCTTTTCGAAAAACTGAAAACTTGAAAAAAAACGAGAGCGAAAAAAATGGAATAGAAATTGTACCTTTATCAGGGTCTGACAAGAACGTGAAATGAAATAATTTAAAAATGCAAATTTTTTTACTGGCTGCCGGCCCGTTCAAGCCAAAGCAAAGGCCCGCAATCAGCCTAAAACCCGAGGCTAGACGTCTGATTTTTGGCCCAGTTGCGGGCTGGCCTACCTATTTGCGGTTCGGCTGGACCCTTTGGGGCCATATGCTGCGTGTTGGCCAGGATTCCGAGAGAGTATTTTAAGAAATGTAGCGGGGGCACATGAACTTAATTAGACAACTCCATCAAGTGGCAGACGCAGTGACAAATCGAATCCCAACTTAAGACTCATTCAAATTAATCGCTTTGTAATACAAAACTCGCACAGAGCCCGAACCAAAACTGGCGCAGAATGAAGAAACGGCATGAGTGAAGAGCAAAATCGCTTGTAACTTATTTCAAACTGCTTTCGGATTCATCGTCGCAGTTCGATTCGTGTGGGTGGCGGCGGCAAAACTTTCCGCATGAATGCCGTTGAGCTCTGAGTTCTGCTAACAGAGTTCACGCCCTCATCATTTTCTCATCATTTTTTTCTCCCTCTCTCTCTCTTTCTCTCTTTCTCTGCTCCTCCTGCTGCTGTTGCCTATTGACCCGGAGGCGACAAGTCCTTTAGAAGGTCGTGACAGCAACTTTTGCCAGCGAAAAGTTAAGATGTATGGCAACCTAATCACTGGCAAAACTGTTACACACACACACACGCACCCACACACACCCACACATGCAGTTGGGAAAATCTGCTGGCCTCAGTGATTAGCCTGTAATCTCTTAATATAGTTTTTGCAAACTTTTGTTTGCGATTGATTTCTCTAAATAGTCAAGTATTTTATTCAATTATTAAAAACTCATACATAATGAAACAACAGCATGAAAAGCACAATCAGAAGTGAAATTTCATACGTATATATACATACATATATAAATAATTGATACATTTTAATAGCTGCTTTTAGCTATTGTTGCAAACCGAGCAAGCATTTGCAATATTCATAAACGAATCGCAACTTTTGCCCCAGCACGTGAATTCGCTTCTCTTTGTATTATTTCCCTTAATTTTTTCAGGCATACGCACTGTGTATTCTTTTAAGAGACCGTAGCCCGTGCCAGGCAAAAAGTTTTCAACGGCCCAGCAGAGCCCCTCCCCTGCTTTCCACCACCTCGTCGGGAAAGCGAAAACCAACTGAAAGGCTGCAACATTTTTTTTTACGATTTTAATTAGCATAAAAGCGTAATTGAAAATTAACTGAAATGAAATTTATACACGTATACATAACAAGCAAATGGGAAGGCTTCAGATGGCTCTACACTGACTTATAAAACTGTGCGCACACAACGCATATTAATCGGCATCACTGAATACTTGCTTATTATTTCAGCTTTGCTCGCAAAAGCTTCTTTACTCCCTTTTAAATACGCCTCGCAGATATTTAAATTTTATATGAAATTTTACAGTTATTTGTTTAGGATTTGGTGCATATTTATGTCTGATTCAGTTTACAAAAATCAATGGAATTGGTTGTCAATAGTTGCAGCCAAATATCTGCTTTTAATTAGGCAAATATTTATACAAGCCTTTGAGAAGACATTAAATGCAATTAATTATAATTTCTGCGGAAAATATTGTGAAAGATGAGCCCAGAGTTGAGTTGAGTGAGATGCCTTCATCTGGCTAACAATATGCAATACTTGTTTCCCATTTTACTTAATTAAAGATATTTTATTTCAATGAATAAATGATTGCATGCCTGCAGTTAATTTTCTTTGAGCTACGATTTCGGCTTTAATATGCAGTACAACTTTAAATGTACTTTAAATAAATTTAAATTTAAATCGATTGAGGGTAAATTAAATTCTGCACAGTTTTTTTTTTTTTTTTTTTTTTTTTGCAAATGCTTTACTGTTTAACAGCTTGAATTTCAGTTTTCTTTTTTTTTTTTTATTTATTTATTTTTTTTTTATATATATATATATATATATATAAATGCCTTTATCAAAGCTGCAGCAATTTACATGAAAAAAGAACACCTTTATATGCGTGTTTTTTTTTTTACTTTATCCACAGACTTTGTCACCTGCAGCTCAGCCTATGAGCAGCCGAGGATTGGCACAGTGCCGGAGCTAACGGTATACCCGAGATCCACTTTACCAGATAGCCCAATGACAACACAAAACGATCTAATTACGACAGACCCAAACTCAACAGCATTACTGACAGCACCGAAACCAACAACAATAACAGCAGCAACAACAACAACAACAGCAACAACAAGTACAACAAGTACAACTGGCTACTGGAGCACGACCCTGGGAATGTCATCAGCAGCTCCAACGATAACAAGGAATGCCACTGGGAGGTTGGCAAGAGGAGCTGTAGATGTAGCTGCTAAGTCCGCACAAATTGGCCCAACTACGCAGCCCGCAACAGCGGCCGAAATACAAACAACAACCGATTCGACAACAGCAACAACAACAACGACGACGACAACGACAATGTCGACGGCGACGGCGACGGTGATGGCGCTGTTCATATCAACAATTTATCCGACATCAACAACAGAGCGCGCAATGGCTCCGCCGCCAGCCCTGACGGAAGCGGAAGCCAGCAACTCCATTGAAACAGCAACGTCACGGCCACCGGAGCAGGAGGAGGTGGCTGCGAAGGCTGAGGCGGAGGCGGAGGTGGAGGAAAATGCGGTGTTGCAGCATCCTCATCCGGCCAACGCTGATTCACTGACTAAAGGTTTCTCCATACCCACATTTTTGCCGCCGTTTCCCGTGTTCGCGGCCGCAGATTTGCCAGCTTACCGCGCTGCTGCCGCTGCCGCTGCTGCAGCTGAAGCAGAAGCCGCCGCAGCGGCCGCAGCAGCGACATCCACTCCTGCAGCAGAGACTGTGACACTGTCACCGGCGCAGCAGCGGCAACAAATGTTTAATGAGCAGCACTCGTATCTGGCCTCCCACAACGGGCAACTGCTGCCGGGCCAGCAGCCGCGCCGAAATCTGACAATGCCCGTGCTAAACATCACGGCTCAAATGGGAAATCACGCCTACATGCCATGTCAGGTGAGTGCAGTCGACAGCGCTAGCAAAGCCCACCAGGTGCGGCCCTAATACCAAGGCCCGAGCAGCCCGAACATTCATTGCCAACGGCCAAGAAATGTGGGAGTGTGTGTGTGTGTGGGTATTCGTGTGGGTGTGCGTGTGCGTGCCTTCGCCTGTGTGAGTGTGTGTCATGTTTCATTTTGCATATGTGTGGAGCTGAAAGCAATATCTTGAGTGGGTGAAAGGTAAGCGTAGGCGAGAGTCGATGCCAAATTCAAACTTCTTCATTATTTTTCGATTATCTCAATATTTTATTTTCTATATTATTAGTATTAAATTTTGATTTAACTTTAGTTTTTTATATGTTGAACTCCTCAGCATTAATATTTAAATATTTAAAATCTTTTATTGTGTTTAAAAAAACGCAAATTAAGCCCAGTATTCATTAAAATTAAATATAATCCAAGCATTAGCCCCTAATTATCGAAATTAATCTGTTTGTTGTATTTATTGTTGCACAAAAAGATTTAATTTCCGCTATGTTGGTTTTGCCTTTGTTTAATACCTTTTTGGTTTACAACAGTTAAAGTCTTTTATTGTGTGCTCAAATACGAAATAAACTTACTTTTCATTAAAATAAGCAAATAGAAGATATGCCAAGCTCAGTCCTCAATTATCCAAATTAATCGGTTTGTGGCTTTCCCTCTGTCATTTTCTTCTTGTCAATGTAAAATACCCTCTGAGTCTTGCATTAATATTTGCCAAATTAAAACTCATCTATTGCGTGTTGAGAAACCGGTTAGGCTTAAGATGAGGAAGTAGATTGATATAAATCGTGAATCATTTCCGGGTAACTTTTGGGAATTTACCTTTTTCCCTTCATTTGTTTATGGCTGAAGTTTATTCGAGAGAGCCTAAAGCCTAATTCAATTTCACTCCAATATGTCATCCATTACCCTTTTACGCCCACGAATTCCATATTTGCCAAGCACACAGACATCTTCGAAATATTCCCCTCTCCTTCTCGTTTGGGAAAGCGAACCAAATTAATGATATGCTCAGTGTCCAGCTGAAGATATAATAATAGCCTTTTCAGTCCTCTTCTGATAATATCTAGCTGCTTTGCTATTTTGCTATCCGTTTTGGTTTCCGTTTTGCCATTTCCACATTCCAAGGACAGTACGCAGCTTAAGCTACCTTTTGCCTTTTGCCTGTGGTGTCTGCTTTTTGCTCTCTTGTGTCTGGCGGGCAAAAACTTTGCGCACAGATCAGCATAATTTCATTTACATATCAACAAATTTATTTTGTTTACGTTTATTTTTATGACGCAAACAGGGCAAACAACCTCTCTGCGACAACTATCCGCCGTATACGTATACGTACACGTATACGCCTCTAGGATTTACCATTTCTAGAGCCACCTCCATTCTTGGCTCCTCTTTAAAGGACCTCACACACAGGCATCTCTGCTCCACTCCATGTAAATGTAAATTTGAGGCCTCTTATAATAGTTTCTTTTTCTTTTTCTTCCTCATGTTTTTGTTGACGTTGTTTGGGTTTTGGTATATTGTACAATTCGAATATATGTATGCAAATAACCAAGGGCTCCATTGCTTTCCTTCGCTTTCTGCTTTTGTTAACAATATGCAAATAGTATTTTGTTGTTCCCGAGGTCCAGTTAAAGCGAAATCTCTCTCTCTCTCTCACTCTCTCTTTCTCCCTTTATTAAATGGAAAGCAAGCATCTACTCAATAGCAGATCTATTTAATTACCTAAGGTGTACGATCATGATCGGCATCTATCAGTAGTTTCGTCTGCTTTTTCACCCGGCTATCATGCTTTATAAGATTATAAGAACTAGATAATTCAATCAATGAATCATAATCGATATTTATCGATTTTAAATAGTAGTTAAATGAAATTTCATTTTCTTACGCTCTTAAATTGATCTCTCCGATTTCCCTTTTCCTCTATATATTATAATCTCTACTTACATTCATTATTGATCTTCTGTTCAGATCCATCGCCTATCCGAGAAGCCCGTCTCATGGGTGCGCCTAGTAGATGGTCACATAATCAGCGTGGACGATACCACGTTCATAGCGGACGAGCGCTTCCAGTCGATATATCAGGAGGACAACGACTACACCTGGTCGCTGCAGATCAAGTATGTCTCTCCTAGCGATGCCGGCTGGTACGAGTGTCAAATGGCCACCGAGCCCAAGCTGAGCGCCAAGGTCTACCTGGACGTGATCAGTAAGCAGCGCAAATCAATTTCACATCTGAAAATACAAATTTCTCTGCTTTGCAGCGCCCAAGACTGAGCTGATTGGCGACCAGAGTCGCTTCGTCAAGGCGGGCAGCAAGGTGGCCCTGCACTGCATCGTGCGCGGCACTCTGGATCCGCCCAAGTACATCATCTGGTTCCGTGGACAGAAGAAGATCAGCGAGAGCGACGAACGCACCGGCTGGTACACGCAGATCGATCGCAACATATTCGGCACGGTCGGCGATAATCAGAATACGGTAGGCGGTGTGGGCAAAGGAGCCTCAAATTGATTGACAATTTCATTTGATGCTGCAACTTGATTAAGAACTGTTTGTAGCAGTGCTGAAATAATAATGCACGCATTAATTACAGATCGGCTCATTAATTATACCGTTTGTGCGCAAAGAGGACTCCGGCAACTATACGTGCCAGCCATCGAACAGCGAGTCCGTCTCCGTTGACTTGCACGTGCTCAGCGGTGAGTCCTCCCTCAATATTTTTTCGTCAACATATTGATAGTGAAGAGTGTACATACACATACATGTATATGTATGTATGTATATGTAGTGGCTCTTGTGACGTGAACGATTGCGAGTGCGTGTGAATTATTTTGTCAGCAAGTTAAATGATTCATATTAATTGCAACTGTCACACTCACACTCACACACACTCACACACACTCACTCACACACACGCACACGCACATCTCTCTCTTTTGCCAACAGGTGAATACTCGGCTTCGGCTATCATGTCCGGCGCTGCTGAGCGCAAACAGCGCAGCACGTTTCAATTGCTGTTGGCGTCGCCGCTGCTGCTGGCGCTGCTGGCGGAGGCGCTGGAGGTCCTCGCCGGACTCGGAGCGCGTCAGGGGACGTGACTTGTGACGTGACTCGCTTATTGAACAGCCAGGCCGGACTTCAATTATTTGTAAGCTTTTGCACACTGTGCAGTTATGTAATTTAGGTTAGAGATTAATTAAAGATGTCACTGTAAATAGGAACGGCAAGAGGGTGCACAGAGGGAACATAGGGCAAAGGGGGCAGGAGGGTCGGAGGAGACGGTACAACTTTCTATAATTAAGTTAAACGTTAGCTCACACCTGCAGCGCGTTCGGCTATGCCAATGCGTATATGTGTGTGTGTGTGCGCCTTTCTCTGTGTGTTGTATAAATCAAATTAAAAATATACGATTAACGTAATTAATTCTAGACCTAAAAATCAAATCAAATGCAGCTCTGAATCTAAGTAACCAAGAGAGAGAATGAGAGAGCGAAAGTTGTTTGTCATTTACAGTTGTGAAGGAGGTCAATAATTAGATTATTGTCAAACCAGCTAAACTTAAATTTAATTATAATAATATTAAAAGAAATAAAAAATACAAATAAAATTGAATTCATGTGAACCCAAGCAAAGGTAAATAACTTTTACTTTTTTTTTTTCTAAATCTCTGTAATTCTTTGATTATAATTGAATGCATGACAGAATTTTCGAAACTTTCATAGAAATTCATTTGCTAAACTAATGTGAATTTCCCCCAGTCTGGAAAAATAAATCTTCAAAACGATTATGTGCCTCTCCTTGTTAGGTTTAACGGTAAGCTTTTGGGTTTCCCTATTACTGCATTGATACCTTACCAGCCATTCGAGCTGTATATGATAAATGGATACTTATCACAATGGAGGGCGGAAATGTGCTCCATTCACAGCAGGCATGGAACAGTTTGGCGTCCTTTGCCCAAAGGATGCGCATAAATAATTTAATAATTTATTATAATATTTTACTTTTTTGGGTCTTTGAAACCCAACCCGACTAAAAAGTGCAAAGCGAGTTCATAAAAAATAAAGAAAAAATCACTGAAAGAAAGAGGCAAAAACGGAATCACATGCCCATAAAATGACGAATTCCAGTCGGCGAGAAAACGGGGCCATAAAGCCTTTAAGGTAGACGCTTTATTTTATTGCAGCGGAAATCACATCTCAGTTAGCCCCAAAGCAAGGGTATACAGACAGTAAAAGAGAGAAGGAGAGAGAGAGGGGGAATCGCCAAAACAGCACGTAAAATTTGTTCAGCAGAGAAAAGCGAATAAGCGTCATTTCCAGAGCGAAGCAAAGGAAAAAAAAAAGATGATGAGAAAATAGAAGAAAAAGAAACATCTAGGGGCTGTAAATATATTTCACGTTCTAGCCGAAGCTGACGACAGAGTGACTGACAGCAAGGACAGCGCCGACTGAAGGCCGGACAGGAGCAAGTGTTTGGGTAAGTGGAGAGTGCGGAGTGCGGAGGGCGGAGAAAGCCAAGCATTATGGCCCTAAAAGCCAACCTAGATGAAACCGGCTGACGCTTTGTAGTTTTAAGCAGAGAGCACGAAAGCAACATCCCAAAGTGCATGTTAAGTACATCCCTGGCTGGCTGCAGCGACTAAAGTGCGTGGGGCACGCCTCTCGCAGGCGAAAAGCTTACCTCAATTTGCCATAATTAGCTTGCAAGCCGTGCAAAAAGTCAAAAATCAGTCGGACACACGAAATGGCAGCAGTTTTTTAATCACTTTTAATGTCAGCTAATAGGTTTAGGGTTTAGCTACAAGTATTTGATTCAACATTCAATTATGGCCCATTATCAACTGTTTATATTGCAACTGCGCTGCATTTGCTATCCATAAATGGCAGCTTGGCTCCTGCAAAATGTGAAATTTTACTCTAATATAACTGAGTTGCTCCCATCGTAGAATAATTATTTGTGTGAGTTTCGTTTACATTAGATGTGAAACACAATTTGTTGTTGGCCTTTGTGTCGCAATCAAATTACACGAATAAATTTAGCACAGGACAACGCCAGATACATCGCAAGGACACTTTAAGTGACTTCCAAAGAATTTTATAAAATATGATACAGTTTGGGTATCTATCTTCCTTTTTTTGCTGTTGTTGTGTTGCTGCTCGTTTTTATTTTCGTGCAATGCTCTGGAGAAACAGTCTTTTTTCTCAATATTTGGATAAGGAAAGCTGGGCAAGTGCCCGGCGTGACTTGTCCCTTTTTGCTGGCCGAGCAAAAAGCTGAAAGATGATGAAAAATAATGACTTCAAAACACATAGGAAGCGAAGGCAAGTGCACAAAATGACATCCTGCACCGACTTGTCGGTCATCGAGCACCACTTCCAGCTGCCTCCCCTTTAATTGTGTTAACATCGAGGCCAACTTCGCACTGCCCAGCAGCAGATTCAGCTTCTGTCTCTGAATGGGTTGGGGGTGGAAATGTTTTCAATGTCTGCCTCTGCCTCTGCCTCTGCCTCTACCTCTGTCTCTGTCTCTGTGTGGGCAACCTGCCGTACTTCCCCTCAAGGTCCTCGCTGCCTCGCCCAACTCTCTTTAGCTTTTTGCTGTGAACGAGCGGCTTTTTACATATTTTTTGGCTGCTCGTCTAAGAGACGGCCTTTTCTCTGCTTTACGCCTTCCGCTGTTTGACGTCCAGTATTTCTCAGTCCGCTGCTGTGTGGTCTGCCTGAAAGGCATTTAAGTTGGGTAAAGTATTTCTGGTTTAACTTTGCCGCATGCAAGCGTCACTCCAGCAGCCACTCCACAGTTTCGCATGTTTTGTTCGGCTGCTGCTCTGGCCGGAGGAGGCAGGTGGGGTGCGGTGCTGCCTTTGGAGTGTTTTCCGTTGACTCTGGGCCTTAGTTGTGTTTGCGGTTTCGCATTTCGGCAAACAGTAAATAAGTGTGTACAAGCCAAAAGTCCTAAACGTCTAGAGTAAATAAATAAGAGGCAGTTCGACTCTCACCCAAAGCTGTTGACTCTGGCCTTAAATTCAGGAACGACTAAAAAATACAAAACTTTGGCTAATTGAATAAGAAAACTAAGCAAAACAAGCCAAATAACTTTCAATTAGTTCAAATAAATGTCGCATTAAATATATTTTATTTTTTTCTTTCAATTGACATTGCTGGAAATGAATAAATTCATTTTGACTTTGCCGTTTGTCTTCTTCTCTTTCTGTTCTAAATGTACCCGACTTCCATTTCAATTCGATTTCAAAGGTTGAGTTCTGCTATGAGAATTATTTGCATATCTGGAGGTTTTTGTTTACGCTTCACCTTTAGCTTTTTGTGGCTTTAGCATCAATGGCAAATTGCGAATTTTATCTGCCGTCTATTTTTATTCATCAAAGCTTCATGGCGCCAAATTTATTTCCGCCATATTCAAGACTTTTTCTTACATTAAGCGTTTAATTATACGATGCAAATGTAATATCGTATGGTAAGACTAACTTCAGTTTTATATATTTTCTTTAACTGGAACTGCCATATTAGCTATTCAATGCGATACTAAAGCAGTTATAGTTTAATTATTTTTACTTAAAAAGGAGTACTATTATTAATAAAAGTTTAAAGTTTAAAAACTATTATTAAAGCTAATTAATCATCTTGCCTTCGATTTATTTCTCAGCTTAAAAGTATGCAATGCATTTTGAAAACTCTTCAGCAAAGTGTTGGCTGTAATATTTTGTGGCCTTTTGTTTTATTGACTGGGCTTAAAGCAAGCAGTTTTAAGCAGCATTAAGGCTTGCATGCACGAGTATACCATGAGAGCTGACAATAGCTTGTATTTGAAATCAGCTGTGAAAGCTATTGAAAACTTAATGCTTAAGAGGATTATTAGGAAGCAACGCGTTTGCTTTACACATTGCCATAGCTATGCTTTATCGAATTGCATGCGAAGCGCTCAGGGTTGACGAAGATAAATGACATGCGGCGAATCTAATTCGATTGGCATTAGCCTCATCGGCCTAGGCAACTGGATAAAAGGCAGCCAAGGCTGTCAGGTGCCTCTCAGCCATCTATGCGAGCTGGATGCTGTGCGTGCACGGTGCAAATTGCCTAGTCTGGCTCGGTCTGCGAATGCAAAGCATTATCAAGAGCATTTGCATTGGGAATGCGGCCTGGATGCTGTTGCCGCCACAGAGTATCAGCCGCGGTCCCAGCGGCTTATCGGCGTTATCTGCGGTCCTTTGGCGCGCTGCGAGCATAGGGTGTGCTTAGCACTCGACCAGGCTGGGCATTGTATTGCCGTTATTGGTGGGGCTATTAGTGCTGATAGGTGCAGAGGCCCGTTATAAATACATATTTGAAATTGGCAACTGCACTTGCCCGCCTGCAGCCGGACTGTGCCTGGGAGCACTTTACGGGAAATCCAATTTGTGGCTACGGCTGCAGTGCAAACAGGCCAAATGGCTAAGTGATGGCAGCATTTACTTTGGCATGAATAACTTATGCTGTATAAACGAAGCGCACGTGGCGTATGCTCAATATACACACAGACTCTTATGTAAACTGACAAGCCAAGCAAACAACGGCAAAAAACAACAGCCAGCTTGACAACAGCATCATCAACATCATCATCATCATCATCATCATCAGCAGCAGCAGCAGCATCATCTTCATTCGTATCCGAATTCGGAATACCACAAAAATTCGTTGGCCAAACTTCGGTAAAAACTATGGGCCAACACTGAAGCGCTTTATACATTATGCTCGAACTTTTTGGCGTTCGATAAGCGAGCAGCAAAAATTATGATGATGCTGACGATGATGCTTGGCCGCAGATAGCAAACTTTCCACGCCACAAATCAAGTCGGAGCAGCCGAACAACAATGCCTACGCCTGCAACATATTTGTCAAGAGCCAGCCGAAGAGAAAGGAGTTCCTCTTATCTGGATGCCATTATGATTTCTACTCAAAATATTTGTTCAACTGTTTAAAGATTTTACTGGCGACAACAACAAATTTGCAGAGTAACAATTGAAATTCCAAAAGAAGCGTAATTAACCTGGCCAAGACAATAACATGCTCAGGCTCAGCACATTTGAGTTTTATGTGTAGAACAATTTATGTTGTCTGTCTGCATAAAATACAAATGCAAAGCGAGTCTGCAGCTCAAATGTTGACTGTATTGTTTTGTGTTCTCTTTTTTCTCTGTTTGTTTTCTGTGTGTTTAGTCTTGTTTTTATTTGATCATTTGATGGCTGGCGCAGCTCTAATTAAACCAATTGGCGAACAAATTTTAATTAGCCAGCGGCGAAAACATGCAAAACAACAATAAAAAGCCTGCAACATTTGCGGGCGCCTGTTTATGCCCCAGATTCGGATATTTATTGGTAAGCAGCCGACAATTGCTTTAATTCCGGCCAACATTTAAAGGCCAATAAAAAAATGATTCGACAAGTGCAATTAAAAAGCTAATAAGGTGAGCCAGGCCAACTTTTTTATGGCCGCGCCATATTTATGTCTCAGCATCAAGCGACGATGCCTTAAGCGGGCCAAGATGTCAGCCATCGGCCGAAATTGTTCAACATTTTTATTTTTTTGTA